CAGTTTCATTCTTGTGTATATATATATATATATATATATATATAGGAAATATTGTTTGAATTTTAGATGATATTTATTTTAATGGCTGATAAAGAGAACTACTAGGTAAAGTTCTACTCGTGGTGTTTTTTTTTTTGTTTTTATGTGTAATGTTCCTTTTTTCTAATGTTGCTGTTTTAATGGGATTTCTGCTATTGTTCCAGACTAAATTTTGAAATAAAGACATTTAGAATTAAGTGTTTCAACTGAGTGTTTCAAATGGAGGCCAAGCGAGTGAAGAGAGATGTTAAAACTTTGCTGTAAGTAGCATGAAATTAATTTACTGTACTGTATCAGGATAAATGTGATCATAAATTGTTCATATGTAAGGACACACTTTCCGAACAAAGTTTTTTAAAAACCTTTTTAGTGGTGAATATATTGGACAGCGACTCAGAGAAAATGGTTTTGATCCAAAGGGGAAAAGCACTTCTACAATGTTAGATGATCTGGTAAGTCATCAATATTAACGCGAAAGTTTAATATCAAAGGTTAGGGTTGTCCTATTGAAAGAGTATAAATATTAGTTGCTATTGTTCTTATTTCAAATGTTATAATAAAAAAATGTTTTAGAAAAACAAGATTCAACAATCTTAGGGATTGTATTGCTAAATATGTTCTAAATACATCTCTGCACATTCATGTAGGCCAATTATGACTTGGCTATAAGTGTGGCTCTGTGGCGGCTCAGTAAAGATGATCGGAAGAATGCAGCTGAGAATGACACGCGAGTAATTTATATGACTGGCATTTACTGTATGTGTTTGTTCCACAGATTTACTTTTATGTATGCTGTATTTTACCATATATATTTTTGTGGCTCACATTTGGCAATGATATGTTTGTAGAGGAATTGGCAGTTTAAGACATATTAGCCAGTACCCTAATCACTTGGAAAGAGAAGCAATGATCTTTTCTTCATTTGCTGGAATGCTTCTGGTAGGGATAAGTAACTGGTTTCAACAGCATTTGTGTTTTTGTCCACAAGCTGTATCATTGTCCTCTAATTTTCAGAACAGCTTACCCATAGAAGACATTCTGTCTCTGTACAATTGCAAACCAGTGGCATCTTACCCTCATAATCATGCTAAGGTATGTTACAGTATTTATGATAGTATGTTTGTCATGTGAGTGAACAAATGTCATGCAGGATGAGATTTGGAAGTGATATACATCCGGTCTGAAAATAAGAATCCTTAAAATTGTTGTTTAGTCTGGCTCTTCACATAATACCACAATAATGCCAAGAAGGAGCCTCAGCAAATTTCTGAAGGATGACTTAAGGATTGCCTTATACACAGAGGCATTGTTGTGTTAGAATAGAAAAGGGTCCTGTTCAAACTATTGGTATAAAATTAAAGCACACAATTCCCTAGAATATCCTTATTTGCTTAAATATTAATATTTGTACTCATGGAAATGACTAAAGTAGTCAAACTTGTTCATTAGAAGGGGGGATCCCAATACTTTTGGCAATATAGTGTGCAAGCCAGCCTAGCTTTTCAAAAATCTTTGTCTGCAATTTAATAATATTGACTTATTAGCCTACTTTTGCTATTGCTTTTGACCATTAGGTATCAGTAACATAATTCATTCAGTACCTGTTCTATGTACAATATAGACTTTCTGTACCACACTATTCTGCTGATATGGAATGAGTTTGACTACTTAATCAGTTATATTAATAGAAATGCTTCACTGGGGCAAACAAAAAAATCCTAAAATAATAAATAGGATACCCCATAACACCAGCATTTCCAGCAGTATCCAACATTTCTCAATCATGATCTTACTCAGCTAAATGTGACTATTAGCTTAACAGCTGTATTCCTTGTTTGCTAGCTACCTATGCACATACAGCATACAATGTTAAAAATGTTCTACATTATGAACCTTAACCCAAAAACCTTTAGCTTCATACACTGTAGATAATTGTGACCCTGCCTGCGGAAACCCAGCTAAAGTATTTTTTTTTAACAGTGGATGAATAATTCACTCCTTGATTTGCTTAATAAAAGCCTCCTTTGAGATCGTTTTGACAGACATGTTTATTGTGTATTATTTTCAATGTGTTTATTGCTAAGTTTAGTGTGGCAAAATAGAAGCTCAGCCGTAATTCGCAAGCAGTGTATCTGGTTGCCATGACAACCTCACGCGCTTCCTGCCACTGCTCTGTAATCAGAATATGAATTTGTACATTTTCTATAACAAAACTAAAATTTGTTTAAAAGTGCGAATGTGCAAATCGTCCGGCTCGGTTTAATTAAACTTAAACTTAATTATTTTATTATCTTCACCAGCCCAGGTACTGAAACGCTGGTTCAAGGAACAGTAAACAGGAGGTCTCTCCAGTAACTGAGAAACTGGAGTCCCCCTCCACCTCTTCTTCTAGCTCCTCATTTAGTGTCAGTCAGCTGTTCCTCACATACATTTTTACCACAGTCTGTTATGACCCATATATTATGTATCATATCATGATACACTCAATAATATAATGCACTGAAAAAGTGGAAATTACTGCCATCATGTACTCAGATTGTGTACTGTAATTGTTGCACCTAGGCCTATCTTTTGTGTTGAATACAGGATAGCGAGGACTCCTTAAAAGATGAATCTGCTCACTATGAGGGCTCGCAAGAAACTCTGCAGGACTGAAAACAGCATCTGTACAAGCAAATATTCATTTTTCATGGTTTATTAAACATTGCTGTCATTACACATGTAACATCCTTTCAGGTGTTTCCTCGTTTGTCTTTATTGTTAAAATATTAGTTCTTTCCTGAGACTTTGTTCACAACCAGATAATAATAAAGAGAGCCAATTAATTTTTTCTTTATAAATACCAGTAGTACTTTTTACTGACTTAATATTTCTCTAAAGTTTTCAGTTTTCAGTTGTTGTTTTTTTAGAAATAGGTGTGAATAATAATTCATGTTTCCATTCATTCTCATTATGCATGTGAATGAAGATTCAGTGTAAAGTTTACAGTAATCAATACAGTTCTTGAACTTTTACTTTCTGAACTCTGAAACACATGGTGTGGTATAGACATTTTTGGAAGTGTTGATGCATTCCATGTCATAAGCAATAATTTTATCACATAAAGCATTTCATTAATGTCTGGATCAAAACAGAGGGCAGCTGAGGTCAGTAATTTGCCAGCTAGGAATTTTGATTTGATGAATAAGGGCTTTTAAATCTATGGATAGGATTAAGAGGTTCGCACCACCATCAGAGTGCCAAATCCCAGTAATTGAAAGGACAAATAAAGTTTGATCCACCACGTTGATGGTGGTTTATAAAGCAGACCTCATGCCCTAGTTTGTTTGACTGTTTCTCATGTTTAGAACTGTTTCCAGAGATTCACGTCAAAATGAGTAAGGTAAATGAGATGGTCAAAGATGATAACTTCTTTATTTTTGCATTTCTTAAGGAAAGTTTAGATTAGCATTTGACTGAACAGTTGCAAATACTAAATGCTAATTAGAAATTATGCTACTATGACTATAAACAGAACAACCAAACTCTTACATTTGTCTGTATTGCTTTAATCTGTGACATCTCTTGATTTCAGATTATCTTTTATGAGGAGAGAAACTTCCAAGGTCGCTCCTATGAGTGCGACACAGACTGCCCAGACATGTACCCTCATTTCAGTCGATGCAACTCTATCAGAGTGGAGAGTGGCTGCTGGATCCTCTATGAAAGACCCAATTACTCTGGTTTCCAATATGTGGTAACCAGAGGTGAATATCCTGAATACCAGCGCTGGATGGGCTACAATGATATCATTCGCTCATGTCGTACATTTTCCTATGTGAGTAATATGCATGTTAATGATTCCATAATATTTGTTGTGAGATCTATTTCTATATCTACTTTTATTATTTTATTATTCCATTTTTGTTGTTCACTGTTCTGGCACACCGAAAACTGTTGTTCTCAGTATCCACACTTGTATTTTGTGTTGTTGTACACATTTACACTGTAGACATTCAAACTCTAGGCCTTTTAAAGTATGTTAAAAGACCTTTTGAAATGTTTTGCAGAAAAGTGGTGGATCCTACCGTATCCGGATCTACGATCGGCCAGATTTCCAAGGTCAGATGATGGAATTCAGTAATGACTGCAAGTCCATTCATCAAAGTTTCCAGTGCCGCAGTGTTCACTCTTGCAATGCCATGGAGGGCTACTGGACCTTCTATGAGCACCCCAGTTATCAAGGCCGCCAATACTTCCTGCCTCCTGGCAAGTATCGCAAGTTCAGTGACTGGGGTGCCGTTTGTGCCACCGTTGGCTCGTTCTGCAGAATCACTGATTTTTAGAGTTAATGTTATGAAAATAACTGTGCCTTTTCTGGCATTGACGTGTCAATAAAATGCCACAAAACCAAATGCTTGGCAGTGTATGTATTCATGCTGCAGGTGTGTTGATTACCACAGCTGTCTGTGATCAAATATAGATTTCAGGCTGTATGGCATCTGTGGGGACATGCTTTAATTCCTAGATTAGTATTCCCTTATGTTTGCCAGTGTAAATTATTTAAAAACACACTGTAGTCATTGCATATCCATATCAATAAAAATGTCTTTTGCTTCTAAGTCAAGCAAGTTAAATACAGTATGGACAGTAGGAAGTCACCATAGGTTGTGGTAGATTGTAACAAAGGTTTTGATCCCTACAAACTCAACTTTACTAATGGCAACCACACAGAACTTTCCATTCTGGTAACAAATTCAGCCACTGACAAAGCCTTGATGTCTGGTGTTAGGTCTTGTTTTGATTAAGTAGCCATCTGGTACAATGACAGCTTCCTGCAAAAAGTTAGAATATTTGCTGCAATACACTTATTAGTGAAATAAATCATGGCAGTAGGACATACAAAGATTTCTTGAACAGATTCCCTCATAAACATCCTATATCAGCTATACCAAAGGCATTTTGCAATTTCAAGAAAAAAAACTTTTAGTTTCAATGAAATGTTCTTATTTAAACAATCTTGTGATGTGTAATGCTAAAATAAATGCATACAAATAACACTATTGTTGTGTTGTTTCCCCAGATCTTTCCAGCAGCTTTCAACAGAGCAGCTTTTGCTGGAAAAACTAATGTTACGGAGGCAATCAAAGTGATTGTTTAGGTTAAAACTGTCCATGTTTGCAATATTCCTGTACAGCTTCTGCTGACATGAGTACACTGTGATTTAAATGACAACACGAACAGTAGTACCATTATTTTCTTGGATATATATTAATAGTTCCAGCAGCATTTGGCAACTGAACAGGAAAAAAGATCAAATCCTACACAAACATGGGAAAGGTTTGTACAGATTAGAATAATTTATTAGTCAAATATGAATTATTATTGTGCTGCTCTCATTATCTAAAATGTTTCCTCTAGATTATCTTTTATGAGGATAGGAACTTCGGTGGCCGTTACCATGAGTGCATGAGTGACTGCTCTGACCTGCATTCCTACTTCAATCTCTGTCACTCCATCAAAGTGGAAAGCGGTTGCTTCATGGTCTATGACCGAACGAATTTCATGGGCCACCAGTACTTTCTGAGAAGGGGCGAGTACCCTGATTACATGCGTACTATGGGAATGAACGATTGCGTCAGATCCTGTCGCATGATCCCAGTGGTAAAGACTGAAGCTAATTGCTATCTAAAGTTATCAATGCTCTTGTTTTAATGGACTGAAATTAAGCACTCAGCCTTAACTTCCTGTTATTTACCCATTAGCATCGTGGGACCTTCAAAATGAGGCTCTATGAGCGCCAGGACATGGGCGGCAGGATGGTGGAGCTTGAGGATGATTGCCCCAACATCATGGACCAGTTCAACATGTCCAACTTCCATTCCTGCCACCTGATGGACGGTCACTGGTTCGTTTATGAGCAGCCCAACTATACGGGTAGGCACTTCTACCTGAGGCCTGGCGTGTACAGGAGGTACAGTGACTGGGGCGGCATGAGTTCAAGGATGGGCTCCATCAGACGGATCATGGATCTCTAATGAAAGGAGTCCATGTGAAATGTCTGCTGTATGCCCTTTTTCACACACTAAATAAAATGGTGCCTCTGCTCAAGTGTCTTGAGTTTTGTTCTTGCACCCTCTACCTGGAGGGGTCACTGCCTGATGACGACACTTGCTATAGGCTGCCAGACTGCTTGACACTGTTCGGAGAACTGAATAAAACTATAGAGACATTTTCCTCATTGAGACAGGCTTTGAGTGTTCTCTCTGCTTGTGCTGTATATTAACGCTCACTCATGGTAAATATCTAATGATAAACAGATGAAGTGTAGAAAACCTGCTTTATAATGTTCCCTCCTGGTGGAATGACCTGCCCAAATCAATCCGAGTCCTTAACCATCTTCAAGAAATGACTAAAAACACATCTGTTCCACCTTTATTTGACCCTCTAACTCTAGCACTTTCTATTCTATTTTAATTCTACTTTATCTATATCTTCTTTTTTTTATTAAAAAAAAAACACTAGCTTTCTATTTTTCTATTCTATCTACTTGTTTTTCTTTGTGTGTGTGTGTATATGTGTGTGTGTATAATATATATATATATATATATATATATATATATATATACACACCTTGCTACGTGTACTGCGTTAGGCTAACCGAGACTTGTCATTTGCACCTATATATTGTTGCTCTCTTGTTCGTTTTGACTGCTTTTATTGTCCTCATTTGTAAGTCGCTTTGGATAAAAGCGTCTGCTAAATGACTAAATGTAAATTTATAATATCATAGCTTATGTTTAAAACAATGTTCATATAGATAAACATTAAAAAGTATGACTGTTATAACAATGTAAATATGGGGTAAACCCTGTTGTAAGTGGAATTGCTATGGATTAAAGAGTAATCAAATATATTTATTAGTGTAAAGTATACAGTATTTATTAAAAATATAATCAAAATACAGTTCAAACACATATGTGTATATATCAATGATATCAGAATTTATACAAATTTTCACTGCACAACCACTATATAAGCTTACGATAAGGATAAAGTAAAAATGTAATATAACATATCCAAAAGAAATAGTAGCATAAAAATGAGATAAATTTAGTTAAATTAAACAATCAATAACATGATTTAATTAATAATACATGCATGTATTTACATTTAACATTCATTACTTCTGTGAGTATGCAAATCCCACACAATTGGCTAATGTAAATTAATATATTTAAGTTAATATCACACCATGAGTCTTACATGGAACTTACAAACAATTTATAATGACTTATTGGATATTTGGTATAGATATTAATTATTTTCTGTGTGTTTCATCTGTTCATTATGTGATTACAACCTCACATTTGTTTTTGTTTTTTTTGCTGCATTAATTCATTCATTCATTCATTTTTTTCTGCAAAATGGCCGTACTGACAATTATTTTAACAAAAGAATTATAACAATAAACCTTTTTAAAAACCAAATGGCAAAAAAGCATTTTTTTGTATGTGTAATTATAATATGAATGACACATACAGTGTCGGCACTACATGTCTATATATACCAAAGACTCACACTCACATGGTACAGCTGCAGTCAAAAATGGGCAAGGTAAAGCAATACTGTAAGGAAAGTGCGAAAAGTCATACAAAAATATTTTTGTACCTTATATTCAAGATATTTACACTGGATTTACTGTAAACTTTATATGGATTTTCTTCTCTTTTTTAACAGATCATTTTCTATGAAGATAAGAATTTTGAGGGTCATCAGTATGAATGCAGTGGTGATTGTTCCGATATGCTCTGCTATCTGAACCGCTGTAACTCCATCATGGTGGAGAGTGGATGCTTCATGATCTATGAACAACCACATTACAAAGGCCAGCAATTCTTGGTCCATAAAGGAGAGTACCCAGACTTTAAAAGCTGGTTGGGCAAAAATGACCGCGTCTGCTCCTGCTGTGAAATTCCCATGGTGATTATGCTATATTAATTATACTATATGCTTGAGTATCAGGAATGAGTGAAAAATGAGAGAAAAAGTTTTGTATTAAGATAGTAGCTGATTTTCACACGTTTTGTTCTTCTCTCTATCAGACACAGGGATCTTCTCATGAGGTGAAACTGTTTGAGAGAATGGAGTACGGAGGTCAAATGATGACTCTTGTGGATGACTGTCCAAATGTCATGGACATGTTCCAAACAAACCACATATTCTCCTGCAAGGTGATTGGTGGAAGCTGGCTCTTCTTTGAACAGTCCAACTACAAGGGCAGGATGTACCTCATAAGGCCTGGAGAATACACAAGATTCACTGAATGGGGAGGCTTGAGTGCCCGTGTGGGTTCCATCAAACGAATAATTGATTACGAGAATTAACATTCATCCAGGCTGCTCAGCAGTTTTTATTATTTGTTTATTTTTTAATGTAATATACACTGTTGTAAACATACACACCAAACCTAAAATGAATATTTGCTTCTATTACTTAACATGGGTCTAACATGTTACACAACACAGGCAATCATGTTGAATAACAACTTATGAAGCCTTTACGCTTTAAATGCTCTTATATGTTTCCTCAAAAATAAACGTTTATACATTTTGAATCTATAATTTGTTATTATTTTTGATAGAATGTTTTATTTAATATTTGACAGTATAATTTTCATAATGTAACTGTGTTTCTTATAGTAGACTAATTAAATACCACTGCTTATAAATGAGCAAATGTTTTTTTCTTTGTAACAAAAGTTCTTTAAAAATTATTTTATGTTCCACTTTAATGTTAGTTTACTGGTATTTTAGTTTGGTCATTATATACGATGAATCATATCATATTGCAGCTTCATCCAGACTTAAATGAACCATCTATTACTCAACTGATTCAAGACCTTTTGCTTTTGCATTGATTTTTTGTGCTGATTGCAGTCAGACTGAAGCTTCTGCTAGCAGGACAGGGCATTTTGATGAATATGGAAAAACTGCACCAGGGCCAAGCCAAACATAATCAGATTGTTTCATTGACCCCCTGATTCTAGCCCCTATTACTTTCTCCCTGGGCTAGATTTATTTGAATGACAATACTTTATGCTGTGCAATCACAGAGCAGCTTCTAGGTTTTATAAAAGACAGTGATAAACTGGATGCCAGTGTTGAGCAGTAGCCTTGCCAGATGCCAACATGACTATCGGAAAGGTAAGATGGCATCTCTCACTCTCATAGACTAATAGACTTACGATGGTTTTCAACTCTATAAGATGAAGCCACTTTACAGCTACAAGTTCACATTATTTCATATAGTAGATGTATGGTACCTTTTATCTTTAACAGATCATCTTCTACGAGGACAGGAACTTTCAGGGCCGCTATCATGAGTGCATCAGTGACTGTGCAGACCTGCACCCCTATTTTACCCAGTGCAACTCCATCAGGGTAGAGAATGTGTGCTTCATGGTGTTTGAGCACCCAAATTATATGGGACAGCAGTACTTCCTGCAGAAGGGCGAGTATTCTGACTGTCAGCGTATGATTGGGCTCAGTAACTGTATCAGATCATGCCGTATGATCCCCATGGTAAGTGATTTATGGGAATGTAAATCAGCAAATA